AGACTACTACGCTGTCGGCTCGTAGAATGACAAATACCAAGAGGGAGGCTCGACGATGATGGCCGACCAGGGAGCGATACCTTGAGGTACATGAATAACATTGATATTGTTTTGTTTTTGAATTAAATATGTTCAATTTCATCTTCATATATGTCAAACACTCGTTGACTTGTAGGTGATTCCACAGTGGTGCCGAGCGCATGCCGACGCTGGACAATGATCGTGGCTAGGTGGTTCACGCCGCCCTACATAGAAAAGCACGAGTCTCGGCAGCACGCTGCGTATGCTCGGGCCACCGCCACTCACCATCAAGGCGGCAGGAGTCTCCCGGTTCAAATCGGCATATGTAAGTGATTTTTCTTCTATTTAGTTTCACGCTTAACGTATGCCCGATTGCTCACCACCGCCGCTTTCTCGCAGGAGGTCTGCGCGCACCGGACGAGGATGTCTCGATGTTCACGGCGTGGGCTATGTCCCACTGCACCGGGTGGCGGTGACGTCACCGGGACCCGGCTGCCCCTCGCGAGGCATACTCCGACCCTAACGTGTACACTAAAGTCCGTGAGTACACGTCGGCGCGATGCAAGAATGCGACGGGCTAGAGTCGACGTCGTCCGCATCGAGCCCATTGATGCCGAGGCCATCATGAGGCTCGGTGGCGGCGGGAGCACTGGCCGGGGCGTGGATTGCGAACGCCGCCATAGACCCCACCACTGTTCCCACTCGAGCCACTCCGAGCACGAGCACGAGTTCCAAACCCAAACCCATACGCTCACGGCCTACTCCGACATCGCAATGCGGGTCGATGCTCGAGGTAATTCTTGTTTTACTCGTCAGAAATTAATATTCTCACACTTGAGTTAGATTTGCATTATTGAAATATTGGAGTGCAATATTGCGGGCCCGTAACAACGAGAAGATTTACGCGATCACGGCCCTCACCGCTTTCGGTGGAGGTCGAAAGCGGCCGCTTCGGGAGGCCCAGGAGGTCGAGGATTGCGAAATGATGCAAATCATGCAAGCTCTTAGGCGTAAGACGGGTGTGCTGTGCAGATGTCGGCTCCTCCGCCTCGAGTGCCGCGCGCAGCGTTTGCGGCTACTCCCTGTAAGCGTTAAAGTTCACTTCTAAACATGACATAGAAACCCAAAGAACACTAGCTACTTGATTTGCTTGTATGACATAGAAACCCAGCACAACACTAGCTATAAAAAAATTTGATAGGTTTCGTCTAAATACTAAAACTGTAGTCCTAGAATAATTACTGCAATCTCACATAAGCATATAATTGTTTGTGCAGACCTCGGTCGGCGGGGTTCCAATAACCCCCCTCGTCGCCACCTGATTACGAGGCTTGTTACACCACCCTCGGCGCAGAGGCCGACGGTTGGGAAGGTTGGTGACGCAGAGGCCGACGGTTGGAGAGGTTGGCCACCTCGGTCGGATTTGAACTTGTGGACTTGACACTTGAGTTAGATTGTGGACTTATGGAATTGTTGAATTTGGACTTGTGATGATACATGTGTCACATGATCTATGTGATATCTGTGAGATATATGTGATATTTGTGAGATATATGTGATGATTGTGATATTTGTGGGATATTTCACTGTTGTTGAATATATATATATATATTTTTTTGTGCATGGAAAGCAAGAAAGCAGTGGAATGTTGAAAATTTTCATTTGTCTTTGCCGAGGGCCTTGACCATAGCCCTCGGCAAAGAAATTCCCAGAAAAATTAAAAAGCAGGTCTTTGCCGAGGGCCTTAAGCATAGCCCTCGGCAAAAGAAATTCCTAGGAAAAATTAAAAAGTAGGTCTTTGCCGAGGGTTTTGAACACACCCTCGGTAAAGAAATCCGAGACAAAAATAAAAAAGTAGGTCTTTGCCGAGGGCCTTAGATATAGCTCTCGGCAAAGAAATTTCGAGAAAAAAAATAGGTCTTTGCCGAGGGCCTGCGGTATAGCTCTCGGCAAATAAATTCAAAAAAGCTCTTTCTTGCCGAGGGCACAGATGTCGACCCTCGGCAAAGAAAGCCGCCAAAAATAACCGCATGAACCTAACGACTACTTTACTTTTGCCGAGGGCCGCCGTTAGCCCTCGGTAAATACTTTGCCGAGTGCCCGATAAAAGGCCCTCGGCAAAGACTCCTTCGCCGACGTTTTTTTTCCGAGGGTTCTTCACCGAGGGCTGCCCTCGGCAAATCCTTCGCCGACGGCTGAAGAGCCTTTGCCGAGGGCGTCAGGCCCTCGGCAAAGACCCTGCGTCCAGTAGTGTATGTACTAGACTAGATGTAATATACCAGGTTCAACAACGGGGCATCATGTGTTACTAGTACGTAGCTTTTACTAGATATCTAGGTTTATTGTAAATTATTAGATGCGTCGCAAAATCTACATATATACAAATGACATATAATTTGGGATGAAGGGAGTAATCACATTCTTCTTTTTCATTCCACATATTATCTTTTTAGGAAAAAAAAATGGATAGAGTGCTATTTCCTAGCTACTACTTTTTTCTCGTTAGGTTTACTCTTCTCAACTAATAATATTGTCACCTGGTTTGTAGGATGCCTTTAGTTCATGCTCTCAGAACATCTCCAAGAGTTTTTATAAATTTCACTCTCTATATCATCATTTGGAGAGTCATTTGCATAAAAATCATTTCCTATATCTTTTCGTGCTTCAACAGCTTTTTTATATCGTGTGTGCACTCTAAAGAGCCATTCTCATTTTCTATGTTTGGCTAGCGAAAAATCCGAATAAAGATTGCTATATTTGGATAACCAAATAAGAAGCTATTGGAGGGTATGTTTTTCATCAGAGTCTCTATTCCTAAGAATTAGCAAGGATATGGAGAGTCGTTTAAAGTTGCTCTTAAATCGTTGATGGAGATATGATAATTAACATGTTGTTTTCAGTCTTAGTGAGCACTTGCATCTCTCATCACTCCTACTCAACTCTAGACGTCCTCTCCCTCCACACACCACCTCTCTTTTTTCTTTTGTCTGCCTTTAACATTAAAGGCATTGCCCTTCGCTACACTGCGTGTAATGACTCTAAAATTCAACCCTATTGAAAATATTTTAACCATTTCATGTTAACCCTAAACCCGCCACTAATTTGATCCTGTGTGCTCCTTAAAGGAATCCAGGAGCCTAGTTAGCCACCTTAGTCGTTGGCTCGCTTTCTTTAGTACCGAGAAAGACAAGATGATGACTAATCATTTTAGAACCCCGAATAGATTACTGTTGAAGTCTAATTTCTTCCTCAGAAACTGTAAACTAGCCTCCGGTCCACGAAAGCAATAACAACTTTCTTAGAGATGATCTTAACATTTCCATATGTCAAAGCAATACACTGATCGATTATTTTGACATTCCATTGGGGCCAGTGCCGGTCTTAGGATTTTAAGGGCCCTCTGACGATCTCATCGCAACGGTCCCTCTTGACCATATATAAAATCTTATAATATATAGACGCTAATTTTACTTGTAAAACGAAATCAATTTTTTATTTAACATGTCTGATAATTATCGAGGAATAATATAGATTAAGCAATATATTTGTAGATGTATGATAATTATCGAGAAATAATGTAGATTAAAAAAGCAATATATTCGTTTTTTCTCACCCATGACAAATATTTCTTAGGTAACATTCTAAAATTCTAACACCTAAATTAGAAAAAAAATATGACTATATGGATACAAAGTACTAGAAGTCTGGAATACTATACAAATAATTAATTTGGATTAAAAATAAAAAGAAAAAATATCTTGGGCCTAAACAACTCATCGGTGATCGCAATTCATAAAAAGCCAAGAATCAAGATGTCGTCGTCGTGGAGCCCTGCTTTGCTTAGTCGTCGTCCTCGTGCGCCATGTCTGAGTCTCCGATAGTCTAGCTCTTCGCGGTGGCGTGGCTCGCCAGCTCCGCATGTGTAAGGCGCACGTCGCGAACTCACGATTAGAGTGTGCTGTGTGCAGCGTGACTTCTCGCCTCCTCTCTACCCGAGGGCCGTGAGGAAAGAAAACTAAGAAAGAAATGTCGATGTTGTTTTTTTGACCGTCTGGCCAATTCTATGTCTCTCTTTTCATTAGTTTGCTAATGCCTAATGTACTATAGAACCTGGGGGTTTGTATAACTGGGCTTGAGCCCTCCTCCCTCCGGCCCTTAGCCGTCGCACCTCGTGCCCTACCCTTAGGGCCGGCACTGATTGTGGCGGGGGGATTCGCACACTCTGGCTCCCTGTATACTCGACGTAAACCTCCATATGATTTTTTTTGAACCTGGGGTTTTGTATACCTGGGCTTGAGTCCCTCCTCCACTTGGGTCCTCAGTCGTCGCACCTCGTGCCCTACTCTTAGGGCCGGCACTGATTGGGGCGGGGGATTCGCACACTCTGGCTCCCTGTATACTTGACGTAAACCTCCATATGTTTTTTTTTGCGAACCATACGAAAAAATTTCAATCTCTTCTCTTCTCATAACCTTGCACATATAGAGGGAGAAAAAAAGAAAACCAAATGTGAACCTCCGCGTAAACCTCGACGGTCGACATCTCATCCGTACCGTTCCGTCGGCCGGGACGACTAACCAACCAGCTACGCGCGGCGCGGACGCGGACGCGCCTACGCCGCACCGGCTCGAATCTCCAAGCACATCATGCGCCATTAAAAACCCCCTCCGAAAAAATAATAATTCCCCACCCATTTGGCTCGGCTTTGCTTTCTCCCCTCGCACCGGGGAACGCGGCCGCCGATCCCTCCCCCTCCTCCTTCCCGCCGACTGATCCCACCAAATCCGCGCCCGCGCAGTCCCCGATTCGATTGGCAAGCGCGATTGGCCGCTCCTGATCAGCGCCGCGGGATAGGGCTGGATTTGATTGGATTGGATCCCCAATTGTGTTGCCGCGTCCGTGCGTTCGGGCGGGCGAGGGGGGATGCTTTAGGGTTTCGGCGGGTGCGGTCGCCGTGTAGGCGGTGGTAGGGTTTTGCCATGGCGGAGAAGGGCTGCCTCAAGCGGCTCCAGAAGGAGTACCACGCGCTCTGCAAGGTGGGCTCCGGTTGGATTGGGGTCGATTGGTGCGCGTTGCTTTGATTCGGCTTCGTCGTGGCTCGATTTCTAACGGTTGGTTTTGGTTTGGCTGGATTGCAGGAGCCGCCGCCGCAGATCGTGGCTCGCCCGCTGCCCAACGACATATTGGAGTGGCGTGAGTAGCCTCCTCCGCTGACCCTGCTACTTGTAGATTCGATTCGTCGCCTTTTGGTTGGCTAATGTTTGCAGTGAACTGGGTGTGATTGGTTGATTGTGCTCAATTTTGTCGGAAGCGATGGTGTAGGCGTAACGGTTTAGGCGTAACGCGTTACGTTCATGTTGGGTTAGCAATCATTTCATTTGGTTTTGGAAGTTTCTATATATGTGTGGTTGCTCCGTGCATTGCGTGATGTGCTCAGCTCATCAGCTCACTGCTTACGGTTCCTGAGCAGTGCGTGCTGCCTAGCAATTTATTGTTTAAAGTTCAATTTGTCGGATGTGAGCCTTAGTTCTGTATAGTGAGGTGAATTGAGTATACTGTTCGCTCATATAGACTAGCTCCTGGCAGTACTACACATTAGCAAGATTCAAATTCTACTGCATGTTGTGAGGGTCAATCATTGTGCATATAGAAAGTTCAGTGCCAAGAATTCTGAAAATAGGAAACAATTGTGTAACTGATTGTTGTTTTGTTTCAATCTTTCTATCTGAAAATAGACAATAGTGCATCAAGGTGTTTGCATGGCATGCTTGTGGTGCAATGTACATTTGATGCATTCGCTAGATATTTGTTCAACAATCATTTGGATATCTGGTTTAGTCGCACTATTGCCTTATCTAGTCATGTGAGAGATTGTGCTTGTTCTGCTTATGGTGCATGGCTCTGTGACTTCCATATGTTTGTTTATATTTATATTTGTTTCACCATCTAGTTTTTTTTATTGGCATAACTATAATCGTCAAGTGCAACACAACAGAAATAGTCAGCACTGTACATGGTGTCAGATGGTGACTGCTAATTGTGTGCATCAACCTGTCTAATAGTAATAGATTATTACTTTGTTATTAGGCATTGCAGGTTCTTGTTGGGCTATTTATGACAAATTGAGCACCATTGATTGCTACTCATAGCCTTCAACTTGCCTCTTGGATGGCTGATGCAAGAAGTGTAGGTTTTAGTTAGTCTTTTACCTTGTATGCTTAAAGGAAAGGAATTAGAATAAATTATGTGATTGATATATGTGTTCATGGAAGGGTTAAAGTTTTGTGTTATCAGTTAATATGATTTTCTAAATTTGATTTGATTGGTGCGATTTGATAGTAATAGATTAATAGACATTGTAGGGTCTTGGTGGGCTATCAATGACTAATTAGCACCATTGATTTCTATTAAAAGCCTGCAACTTGCCTCCTTGGATAGGTGATGCTAAAAGTGTATAGTTTTTAGTTAGTCATTTACCTTGTGTGCTTTATGGAAATCAATTATAGTAAACTATGTGATTGTTATAGGTGTCTATGGAAAGGTTAGAAGTTTGTACTTCTTAGGTATTACACCTTCTCTGAATTTGATGGTTGCGATTTTAATAAGTGATGCATTTATCAGTGGCAACAGAATACCCCTGGCCCTGTATTTTTTGCCTCATGTATGCCTTGATGCTGAAGTGTCCTTACTCATTTGAAGCTTTGGTTTATAGTTACAATCCATTTTATTCTTCAGATTGTATCTAGAAGGCTCTGTATTTGTCATGCTTATCTTAACGCAATACCAATTTTCTTGCTTTCTTTCAGTGCTATATTTGCCTGTTTGGTACTGACTTATGTGTTTTTCTTCTTTTAATGCCAGACTATGTACTTGAAGGAAGTAAAGGCACACCCTTTGAAGGTAAAGATCATACATACTATACCGCATTATCTACTACATCCAATTTTTGTTTTGTTGCTTATAATCTCTAACAATGTTTTTCATGTTTTGATTTCCCACCTGTAGGTGGATATTACTATGGGAAGCTCAAATTCCCACCGGATTATCCTTTTAAACCTCCAAGTATCTGGTGCGGAAACCTTTAATGTTGTTAATACATGATAAATGTTTGTGTTTTAATGGCATGTTGCTTCTTATTAAAGTGTAAAGATTGAAAACTGTAACTAGAAGATTTTTATTAGATGTAGATTAAAATGCTAATTCTTTGTTTCTGTTTCTAACTTATTTAATTGTTCAGCATGACAACCCCTAGCGGCAGGTTTGCGCCACACAAAAGAATATGCCTGTCAATGAGTGACTGTAAGTTCTGAACTTGTTTGCGGATCATACCTTTTGTTATTATTACCTCTGAAATAATGCTCGTTATTACAATGCTTTGCAGTTCATCCTGAATCTTGGAATCCAATGTGGTCTGTTGCAAGGTACGCACATACCGATAACTGGCTACATGGTTGTAATGTGTTTTTTGAAGCCATAGTGTACAATTTTTCAGCTACTGTACAATGTACAGACTAATTTCTGCTAGTCAAATCACTACTTTGTGGTAATCTGCAATCATTTCAACTTCTGTTGCCATGAGATGGGACAACTGAAATGATAGTCTCACTGTTAGTGCTCCATTAGTTATGCTGTTCCAGTGATCCTTCACTATCGAGCAGTCAGTATGCTTCAGTTTAAATTGTTTGTATTTTCTTTCCTTTGTTGGTCTGACATGTAAACCTTTATGCTGCAGCATTCTCACTGGGCTCCTGTCCTTCATGGTAAGTTGTTCCTTGCACCTCATTATGAGTTAACCTTACCAAGAAAGAATGTCTAGGTCTAGTCATAATTTCTAGCACACATTAAATTTGGAAGATTAGTTATTGCTCCAGGCTAACAATTTAATGTTAGTTGCTCAACATTGCAGCAAGCAATTCTTGGCATTTCCCTTGCAAGAACTCCCTTGTTTTAAGGTGTTTTCTCAATGTTGATAATTCTCATACTTGCAGATGGATGATGCACTGACAACTGGAAGCATCAAGACATCAAATGCAGAAAAGAGACGTTTAGCAAAAGCTTCCCTTGCCTACAATTGTGAGAGGTAGATGCATTTCTCTGCAGGCTATTTCATTGTGACCATTTTCTTTCTGTAGAATCACTACAAACTACCCCTTAAGGCAGTTAAAAAAACTACCCCTTAAGGAACAGAATGCACATTAGCTTCTTTTTTTTGACTGCAATGGCAGGAGCTATGCCTTTCAATTAAGTAAGAGAGAAAGAGAGTTTATGTACAAGCAATAGAGATAGGCCGCCCAAAACAAATAGGGAGGGGGAACAGAGCCACTCAAAAACAGCCAATGCACATTAGCTTCTGAACAAGTTGTGTAGTATGTATACTTTTACATGAAAGACCACACAAAAAAAACTTCTACATGAAAGAAACAACTGAATTTTGGTCAGTATGCTGCATTTTCAAGTGTAAACATTGATTAATAAAATTGTTACGTTACTATCACTTCATCTGCAGCAAGTTATACTTGAAGTCATGTTCTAAATACCTTTTGTTCATCGTGGCAAGTCTGTGTGGCTCAATAATTTAATTGTTTCTCTTGCAGCAAAAACTGTCCACACTTCAGGAAACTTTTCCCAGAGTATGTTGAGAAGTACAATCAACAGCAACAATTGGAGAACACTGCTGCAGAGCCAGTGCCTCAGGAGAATCCTGCACCTGCTCCATCCCCTGCTGTCCAGCAAGCTCCGGTCGTTGCCAATAGGGCGCAGCCACTGGCGGAGGCGCGCCGTGACAAGAACCAGAAGAAGGCGGTGCCCTTCTGGATGGTGCTGGTCATGTTTTCAGTTTTCGGTGCAGTGATGGCGTTGCCCCTAATGCAACTTTGACAATAATAAAGACAATGAGAAGGTGTGATACCGGGGCGTAATTTTGTATAGTTTTCCATTGGTTTGTGTGAGTGTGACTCAGTTGTCCCCTAGACTACCTACCACCTTGGAGTCATATTGATGAACCTGTGATGGTTCTCTGTAGAACCGTTCTCTCTCTGACTAGTAGCGTCAGAAGCTCGTTCGTATTTTGCTTCTGTTTCCAAAATCGTATACTTATTATTTTTCTCTTGCTGTACCTCATCTTTGCTATGTGTGCTGACTTCAGGTTCAGTTCACAATTTCACATTCTCTTCCTAAGTGCACGTGTTCTTTTGAATTTTACAGCATGGTAGAGATGCCTCTGCAATTGCATACCTTCTTACGTGAGTACACGGTGCGTATTGCATCCTCGTGCAAGCATATGGCAACATGACCCGGCAACCTGATAACTCACTTAGGCACACTACAGGTAAAGCTCCTCACTGAAATTGCAGTCCGCAACTCCACATCATCGCCTGGACCAGCGTACGGGCCTGTTTGTATCAACCAGCCTAAAATTTAGCTAGTTACAATTTCAAAGCTAAACTTTATCTAGCTAAAAGTTCTCCTAGCTATCCCTAGCAGCTGTTAAATTTAGACGGTTAAAGTTTACTTGGTGGATCCAAACAGGCTCTAAATCACTGTTTTTCCAACTAAAATTTGAATCCGCCAAATGAAGTAACAGATCATCATTAGCCCAATTCCATTACCACAGTCGCTCGCGCGTCTCCAACTCTGGGTCGAACGATTAGTGGGTCGAGGGCGAGGCGGGCCAGTCCTCACTTGTTAGTTGCGCATTCAACGAAGTGTTGGCCGTTGGCGCATGCACGCATACAGACGGAGCCGCTCGAGCAAGCCATCCTAGCTAGTACTAACGTACGAGGACATGCCTTGCACTAATGTATCATATTTATGGTTTCAATTTTTTTTGGTTTTTTTTTTCTCTTTTTAATTTTTATACCAGTTATTTCTTACGTACACCGTTTTTATATTTCTACTAATATGTTATGATATTAATTTGTACATCTAAGTTCTTAAATATAACTTATATATCCAACTTTACATCTAAGTCATTCGTCAAATTAGATATCTAAGTTATACAAGTTATTATCGTATAAGTTATCCATACTGACTTTATACATATAACTTTGTTCATCTAACTTTTGTGTTTCTAAGTTTTGTCATAAGTTATAAGTTAATTCCGTCTCGCACCGGTGTGTTTTACGTGATGAGGTGAACAAAACCCCAATTCTGTTTTTCAGCGGTCGTTCACCCGATTCTACCGCAGCGAACGATAGACCGCTACTGCGCCAGACTCGTAACTTCCATTTTCCGTGCTGTTCATTTCTGTCTTTTCCTTTACTCAGTTCTCAAATATATTTCCCCCATTCCGTGGCATGCAGATATTCATACACGCCGGGTGTTTTTAGTGCATGCTGGTCGGATTTGTCACGTGCCATGGCTGCACCTGTGAATGCTTCTTTTTTTCTTTTTTTTTTTTCCTTTCTACCATTTTTTCTCTTTTTTTGTTACATATTTATAAGTTATACCACATGGTTATTTCCATACATAGTTTCATATTTCTATTAATATGTTATGATATTAATTTTATATTTAAGTTCTTGAATATTATACATCTAACTTTACATCTAAGTCATTCAATAAGTTACATATCGAAGTTATACAAACAGGTTATTATAATCTGCCTGTTCACTTATGCTGAAATTTGGCTTATAATGATATTTATGCTTAAATATTGTGAGAGGAAAATACTGTTCTATGGCTAAAAAATAGCTCAATGACGAATATAAGATCAACGTTGACTTGAACAAGTTATTATAATATAAGTTATCAATGTTGACTTGAAAGTATAAGTTTGTTAATCTAACTTATAAATTATACAAACCAGTTATTATAATATAAGTTATTAATGAGACTTGTACATATAAGTTTGCTAACCTAACTTATAAATCTAACTTCAACATGCATGTCATCTAGCTTACAAAAGTATATTTTATTTGATTACCATCACCGCAAGCGCTTCGGACCACGTGAAAATTGAAACAGCGGCACGCACACGAGACCAGAAAATAAAGAAATCATGGGGCAGAATGATTTTTTTCCTAAAAAGAATGTTACGGAGATGTCTGATTGTTCACGATATTTTAATTAGATGATTGTTCGCGGAATAGTGTGACCGCATCATTAATTCTCTTGTGAAGTTCAGTAGATGTATTCCTTCCCGGTTTGTGATGATTCGGAAATGCAAGTACAAAGACTGAACTCCCGAGAGAGGAGAGAGTTTTCTGTATCAGAACGATTCATAATACCATCTTAGCCATATGGCAGCGTCGATATATACATAGTACACCCCTTACGGTAAAAGGATGAAATAATCTGAGAGCAGAAGCGCCTACAGCTCAGACTGACCTAGGTTTTCTTCCATGCCTCAACCAGGCTGCGGTAATGAAGCAACCAGTCGGCAGTCCCTTACTAAATGATAGAATATCCTAGCTTACGTTGACATCTGTATTGAAAATCAAGCTCTAGGAATAAAGCAGTCTTCACCCTATCAAGTTTCTTTAGAGATCAGGCAAAAGGAATCATTTGCTGAGCTCAAACAGTGCTTCTCACAAGATAGAAGAATGTCAGCTCTCAGGTACTACCCAAGAAAGAAGTTTCTCCTCAACTTCTTCCCAGTTGTGAACCTTTGTCACCAGCGGATGCGATTCGTCAACTCCAGTTTTGCACCAAGGATATGAGTTATCGTAGTCAAATAGAAGGACCCTCATGCCATCATTAGCACACTCTAAAGCATATCTCGGGTTGTCATCAATTAGAACCTGAGCGCCAAAAGACCTACAATGAGTTATGCCACAGCAAATAAGTTAGCCTCAGCTCTAAAGAGAAGAGACAGCTATAGATGACTGCTTGTAACAGTAACAGTTAGCTGACGACACCAGGTTTGCATAAATCAGCTTTTAACTAATAATGTGTTAGTGTGTCTTAAGTCATGATAGCATGTCTGCCCTAAAAATAATCTAAAACACAAATAAGAAACCACCAAGGTTGCCACAGTTTTTAACTAATAATGTGTTAGTGTGTCTTAAGTCATGATGCAATGCTGGTGAATGAGTTAGTATTATGAGCAGAAACAGCTACACGCCTACACCACTGCTTGCAGCAATAAGATTAATTGAGGTATGTTGCACCCTAAATAGTATTTAAAAAAACAAAAACAGGCAAACAGTTTTAACCATTGTTAGAGCATCTCTAGCACACACAATAACAGACACACCATCACCTTTTTTAGTCATCGTGCAGGAAATCAAGCCTCCAGCGGGCTAGCCAACGGCCTCGCCATCTCTGTGTGACACGGTATTGGGCAAGGGTGGCCAGCCAAATTTGGCGGGTGGGCATGCTTTGCTATCCTCCAGTATGTGAGGCAGACAGCTAGGACTGGTGCTTATTCACATTCTTTGGCTTCAAGACTGCATTCCTTTCCCCCTCTTTCATAAATTAAAAATGTGACTATATCAAGTTCCTGACATCACGTCCATTTTTTTTGGTTGATAGAATAAATAACAAAGAACCCATTCTAATTGGATTTAACTCAATCTCTTCTGGACTCTAAATTAAAATTCCTCAGAATTGACTGTTTTTATAAAGTATTTGAACTTAAATTGTACTGATCTAATTCTTAAAAATCAAGGGAAAAAATGCATCAATTCATGTCAACTTGAATACCAATAAAACATAGATCAACATGGTATGGAGAGCAAGATTTCACTAGTCTGCTGGAGTTTGCTGAAATATGGAAAGGGAATCTTATGGAGTGGATAGAGAAACAATGATATGGAGGGAGGGATTTGGAGTGTTCTGGAGATGCTCTTATGCTTCAGTGCATGTTAATCTATGTTACCACTTATCAGTCACCTAAAATGATTGGGACACTATGTTCCCTCAGGCCTCAGTGTATTACCTGCAAATCTCTGATTTTGGCCTTGATTGACCTTCCAAAGCGAAATGATTCCCAAAATGGATCTGCTCAAATAAGCCTGGATAATACTTCTCGATCCATTCCAATGTGTGATTCTTAATTACATCCTGCCGAGATCTTTTAAAAGAAGGATATATTAGGCAAACTCAAATAATGAAAGGCAAATTGATTTGTCTCTTATATCAAATAAATGACTTACGTTACTACAGACAAGCTACAGAAAGAAGAAAGAGTTTGGAGAGCATCTCGAGCCCCCGGGATAGGATGAATACCATCTTGGAAGTAATGGGTTGTGAAGAACTCGTGGACAAGAAAATTAGCTGCAGAGTTTTAGACCAGTGCTTGATTTCATATGATGACTTGTATGTTTAAAACAATAGGTGTAATTCCAAATGAAACAAAGATAATAGCATAAACACACCTCTTTCTCGAGAACAGTTCCATATCTGCATAGAGTTTTGAAAAAAAAAAGATGTAAGAACCGCCTGGTGAACATTCAACTTGAAAAGCTCAAATGAAAATGTGACCAATCAAAATCACAAATTCCAGGAGTCAATCTTTTTAGGGGAGCCAGGACTTCATGTTCACCTTAAAGAACTCGTATACATGGTACTCTGATACTGAGTGATTCCATGAATAACGATCAGCAATAAATTTGTTCAGAGCCGCAAGAAAGCTACCAAGAACTGCAAGCAAGATATACAGTACAAGGTAGTGAGAAAAGGTCAACCATAATAAAGACAAAATTGGCGCTACTTCCTTGACCATATGCAGATTTTTTCAAGACTGTTCAAATGTTCGTTATTCAATTAATTGTTTCTAGACTAAGGACCACGAAATCAACCACTAATAATACTAAAACAGTCAATGCATTCGACTACAAACACTACAAATGCACAGCTGACAATTTCAGATGAACAACTCTATGTCGTAATCATTTCACATACCTTCATCCACATCAACAGCAACCACCATCTTAGCCGCCACAGCCTGCTCCGGGAACCCTAGCGGCTTCCCTGGCCGGCAGGCGCCATTCCCGTTGATGCTCTTGGCACTTGCGGCGGCCTCCTCCAGCGGCAGCAGCACCTCCGGATCGCGCATCAGCTGCCGCTGCGTGGTATGCACCTGCGCCTTCATCCCCGCGGCCTCCCCGTCCACCCTCCTCCTGAACTCGCCGCCGCCGCCGCCACCATCCTGCCAACCCAAGCACCCCCTCAAGCTGAGCGCGCTGGTCGGCGCGAACCTCCTCCGGTCCCGGCTCCCAGATCAAGAAACACCGCCGTACCCGGCAGCGTCCTGCCACTCTCGCCGCCGCAGCGCGCGGTCGAGTGGGCGAACCTGCAGAGGCAGGCGCGGTTCGCGGCGGCCGCCGAGGGCGGCGGCGGAGGCATGGCAGGCCTGGGGTTCCAATTCCAATTCCACCCCAGAGGCGGAGGCCGGAAACGATCCAACAGCGACCGCACGGCTCCGCGGCTTAGCATGTCGACACAAGCATTCCTTCCCCAGGCAGCCCAACAAACCTGCACGCCTCGCATTCGGCAAATCAGATTCGTCGCAACCAACGCAATCGATAAGAATGAAAGGGCAGATCGCAATAACCGACGGAATCGCTTGCCTGAACACGCGAGAGATGAGGGGTGAGGATCGGGACGAATCGAATGCCCCGGTGAGGTCGGAGGTCGGCGCCTCAGTCCTCACACCGGTCCCGTGATCTGGGGCATCTCTTTCAAGCGAGATCGCAGGTCGCGGCGAGGGAAAACCTCGTGAAATTCGTGTGGAAATTCTGGGGCATATACGAAACGGAGATGGCAAGGCGGATTTCTTGGTCGCCTCTAGTGTTTCTTTTTCGCGCTCTTGCTGTTTGATTTGTGGGATTTGTGAGCCAAAAAAAAAACGTGGTCTGAGGAATTTGTGTGCGATTTTTTTTTGGTGTACGTCAGTGACGGTGGTGGTGGGCTCGCTTCTTTTTCGGGAAGGGGAGCCGTGCTCATAGGTTTCTGGCGTTTTGCACGAGTCCATAGTGGCATTCGTCGAAAAAACCGAGTCGTTATTCCGACTGATTTATTGTGAGAGAAAAAATACTATTTTAATTGAAAAAAAAGTTGAAAAGATGGATTATAAGAGAAGCGACAGACAGGGCAGCTAGGATAAGCATGTCTTTAAAAAAAGGCATGATTTTTTACTAAAGAAGTGCATGCCACATGTAAATCAGGCCGGTCGTGAGTATTACTAGAGAGCACAATGAAAGGGTAAAAGAAAACATGTTTTACTTATGGATATCTTTTGTGTGCAGGGATAAAGAAACCGTGTTTTACTTGTGATTTGGTCATACTTGTTTTAAGTAAAACATGTATGAATAGATCATAAATAAAATTAAGAAAATAGAAATAATTTGATTATACTTGATTTACTTAGGGCTTGAGCCCAGCGGCGTGTGTCCCATGAGTCATCTCCTTCTTCTTTCTTCCCCAAACCAAATAGGCACGGGGATGGTAGTGAGAGGTCGATTCGGCAAGGACTTTGTCGGTGGCATTAGGTGGGACCACGAGCTTTACCACTCACGAGCGCAAAGGGTTTGGTTGCAAGCGCGGGGTCTGAAGCGGACGTCCGCGTGGACGTACGGACGCTTACCATTGACGAAAGAAAAAAAAAGGAGAGTACAATAGCCCATCTCCATAAGCTGTGGTCGGCCTGCAAACCCGTACACCAATTTGGGCCTTTATCAGGAATCCCGAGCGGCCCGTCTACTACGACTACGGGGCCGAGTTGCCCGCGCCTCCGGAGTCCGGAGTCCGGAGTCCAGACCCCACCCGGTCCACCCCGCGCGGGCGCGCGGCGCTGTTGTTGTTGTCCGCCGCAGCCGTAGCCGTAAAGGCGCAATCCCAGGAGTCCCACCCACTCGGTCTCGGCCACTCTGGCGGACAGCGGACGTGCCGCGCCGCACGCCCGTCCGCCTTCGTCCGCCTTCAAGTCCCTCCTACTCCCCAGCCGCGGGCGGGGCCTCGCCACCCGACCAGCGCGACGTGCCACATGCCACGCACCCACCACGGGCGTGGCCGCACCGCAGTTACGCTCCCACCACCGCACTTCGGCTACTACTTGTGAAAGTACGTGCGACCGTGACCGAGCGGCCCGGAGTCCCAGATGCCTCGATCTTGCTGTGTACCCTTCGCTTCGCGGTGCGCTTCATAACCGCCCGCCGGGGAACACGTGTTCGCTGACCAGCTATTACCACGGTCGACGCACGCCGTCCCGCCACGTTCGTCAACGGCCCCTCCTAACCGCTCCGCCCAGCCCGCCGCCGCGATACAGCCCGCCGCCGCCGTAAACGATCGTAAATTTCCAATGGGATAAAAGTTTTCTCTCACATTAAACCAAATTCGAATCGCCCAGTTTACACTCTATCTCGGCGTAGAATTTCGTCGCCAGGTTACCGGTAGGTGAGGTCCGGTGGTGGCTGACGCACGCACGCACGCAGCTAGGGCAACCGGCTGCAAGCTGCAACTGCAAGGCCCGCGGCAGCTCGTCTGGCGTGAGGCCATGACACGGTTCCTTCCCCGCGCCCGATTTCGTGCAGGCAACTCCCAATTGTCCGTCCGTGCCCTCAGATTTCCGCACCTGCATTCATAAAACACATCTACTAAGAGGTGTTTGGATCTTGTGATTAAAATTTAGGAGGTGTCACATGATGGTATCGTATGGGATATTCGGATACTAAAAAAACAAATTACAGAATCCGTCAGTATTTTACGAGATGAATTTATTAAGCCTAATTAATCCGTCATTAGCACATATTTACCGTAGCACCACATTGTCAAATCATAGATTAATTAGGCTTAAAAGATTTGTCTCGTAAATTAGCCGCAAACTGTATAATTAGTTTTGTAATTAGTCTATATTTAATACTCCATGCATATGTCAAACATCTGAGGATACGACGAGTAAAATTTAGGAGGAGTAACCAAATACCTGTCTACTAAAAACAATCACGCCCGATCATACCAGAACTCCGGGACGATCACGATCTGCGTCCAAGTGCCGTTAAACAAAGGCGCCTCGACCTTGACCGGCTTCTACTGCAAAGCCATCATTAGATTCAGTGGAACTGGAATCTATCGTATCCATACACACGTAGTAATACGTGTACACTGGTAGCAGTAGCAATTTAGCATCATTAGAACAGGCTTACCACTACTCAGTACGACTACGCGCGTCGCACGCAGACAGATAAGCAAGCACGGGAACATGGCAGGAGAGTGACGCCTGACCTAACACCGTCTGCTGTGCCTGTGCTTCCCCTGCTGCCATCCGGCTTCCGGCAGGCTCCGACGACCGGTTCCTGCGACGCAGACCGCGACTGACTTGCGCCCAAGAAAAGTCTCTTGACTAAGTGCTTGTTTAGTTCCAAATCAAATTCCTAAAAAAATATTATAGTAGTCATCACATCGAATTTTACGATACGTGTATGGAGCATTAAATATAGACAAAAAAAACTAATTACATAGTTTGATTGAAAATTGCGAGACGAACGTTTTTAGTCTAATTAGTCTATGATTGAACACTAATTACCAAATAAAAAGGAAGTGTCTATACAACATCCGGCTGTTTCAATAAAACAAAACAACCGGCTATTTCAGGAGAAAGAAACGGCCGGGTGATACTAAAAAAAATCTGGCTGTTTTGTTTCAGTAAAATAGCCGGGATTTGACATCCATTAGCATCAAAGGGCAGTAAAAAAAGAAAATTAAATCCAAATTGGAAGCGAACAAAGAAAAAGAAAAGAAATACAGTGACATTTTATACAAATATGTAGTTCAGTCAGATATCATGAAAAAAGTGACATAAAGAACAGACTCACATATGGAATTTGGAAAAATAGCTATCCATTGTGTTAATAAATGAACAGTAATAGCTGCTCTCATGGTCTCAGTAGAGGGGGTAGTGTTCTGCTGTCATTGTGGTCCCTCCAAGATGCCGATCAGAATTGGTTAAGCATCTGAATCTCACAAAGGAGGGCCTTTCTCCTTTCATTTCCACTATGGTTTTCTCTGCTATGAACCTTACTGCATTGAGATCCTACACAAAAGAGAGGTAACAAGCTTGGTTATAAAAAGATGCATTCAATCATACTAATTAGGTACGGAACAATTCAGACAATACACAAGGGCAATAAATGAGGATAAAAACCCTTTGTTTAAGAAACAAAACATTATAGCTAACATTGGTCAAGAGAACTAAATAACTCGGATAAAGAAACTGAACTTAAACCTGATTATGAAACTGAACGTGAACCTTTAATCAATAGAATGCAGTGAAACTAATAATATGCACTAAGCCTGAACCTGAAACATAAACCTAATTCCAAATCAAGTTTAGGTTCAAAAATGCACTAATGAGCTATTTATTCCAACATCTGAGTTTATACCAGTATATACAATTTAACATTTTTTAATGAGTTTCACATACTTCCAAAAAATTCGTTCCACAAAACCACAAACCTGACAAAATCTGATATGTTTTGGCACAAATACAATTTAACAACTTACAATTATTTATATGGACAAAAACTAAGACCCAAAAGATAACTGAAACTAAGACCCAAAAGACAACTGAAACTAACCCCCAACCCATGAATATGCCCCCCAACCCCTCCCCCTGCCGCGCAACCGCTCTCAGATTCGAACTCATTTCAGATTTCAGATTAAACAACACAGAAAAAAATAGCGCTGGGGAACATGGAAAACAACAACGAATCAAACAATAGACTAAAACTAAGAATGAAGCAACAACTCAATAAACTGAAAGCACTGAACACAATTTCCTAAATTTATTTAAACTGACTAGGACTGAATCTTTCCTAAATTTGAATAAACTAACTAGCACTGAATCTTACTATAACAAAAACTAAATAAATTTACTATGACTACAAATGACTAAGACTAAAAACTAAAAATGAACAAAATAACTGAATCCAACATTAGAACTTCTCGGTTTACACTAAATAACCTGCTGAAATTAAATAACCTCAACTCTACAAGACTGACTAGAACTGAATCTTACTAAAACAGAAACTAAATAAACTGACTATGACTACAAATGACTAACACTGAAAACTGAAAATGAACAAAATAACTGAA